TCTCTCTCTCTCTCTCTCTCTCTCTCTCCCCTTTTCATCTATTATTTATATTAAAAATTTTCATCATTATCAACAATTACCAATAATCATTATAGCACATTATCAGTATCGGTAGATCATTTTGAACAGTTTTAGTTAGACTGGAGTGATCGTTAAATTTTATTTCCATTTACGAAATTTTATAAATTGTTGCTAGAAGTCTTTAAATGGATTTTTTAAATTTATTTCATTTAGATTTTTTTTTTCAACAAGTATTAATAGAAATAATTTAATATATGGAGAATAAAATGAAAGTGAAATTAGCTTTTATTAACGATTTAATTCAGCTGAGCAAAACTTTGGCAAAATTAAAAAAGAAAATGATCGAATTGTATGTACGTATATATGTATGTGTGTGAGTGTGTGTGTGCGTGTGTGTGTGTGTGTAACAAAATAAGTAAATAAGTTCATAAGTAATTAATTAATTGGAAAAGTATGTGAAAAAAGTGAATTGAAGATAAAATATAAAATATGAATAATATTTATACATTTATCTAATTGAGAGATAAAAGAAACAAAATGTGAATGTTAAATAATTGAAGAAAGAAATGATATGTGATCAATGGTCAACAGAGAGATAATGATAGACCACGGTCATTATCATGATTTAAATAAAACAGCGAAATATCCTAAACATTTTTTAAAGTTTACAGAATTTCATGTATGGACAATGTGATCGATACATTTATACATAATTTCAATCAAATGAAAGAGAGGAAAAGAAAGCGAGAGAAAGAGAAGAAAAAGAAGAAAATAATAACATATCAATTACTACAAAAATTTTCTATTTTTACTGCATATCAACTTAATTAATTAAAGTATTTCTCACAATTTCCTACTCCTTTTGTTCATAAAATTCATAAACAATCTTAAAAAATATAGCACACACATGCATATTGTAGTAATAAAACTTGCATAATCGATTTATTCGTAATGCTGTATATATATATATATAGTTTAAAAAATTTTTCAAAAATCAAAATTAAATGTCTGAAAATAATACATACGATAATTGAATGTACGATTTTGAAATTAAATTTTTTTCATGATCATTAATTGTAAAATTTTACAATTAATTTCTTCCCCTTTATTTGCCATTATCAATTGTGCTGAAATTAAATTTTTTTTTGAATGTTTAATTTTAATTGAAATTATAATTCTTTTTCTGATATATGCAAAATGCAATTAATTATTGTTGGAAAAAATTTAATTAAATAAACAAATATTAAGAGTGATATGCAATATTTATTCATTTAACTAAATTTTAAATATCCATACATGTATACATTTCACAGTTATAATGTCATTCTCATATGGGTTATTTCAAATGTTGTAAAGGTCATATACAGTACTTACTGTGCAAAGTTCATCATAATAGTATCATGAATTTGACAAAATGACAATTTAATAATGCTTGTATTGTATGATAATGCTAATACTGGTTTACATTGTTATTGTTAATACTGGTTTATATTGATATGACAATGGTTATATTGTTAACTATATCACAAATGACAATTTGACAATACAAGCATTATCATAACTATACCCTAACTCTTTCGTGTTTAGTATAAAAGAATTTTAAAAACATCAAATGATAGATGAATGGCTCTGAAAGATTTTCGAAGTGTTATAAAATTTAAAAAATTTCATTTCATATGAGAGCTTATTTAAAAATTTATCCATCCATGGCAACATAGTGCAACCAATTCAAACTTAATGCTAAAAAAAATTATTTGCTTTCATAAATGAATAAAAATACTCATTTTTTTTAGCCTCTGTTAACATTATATATAAAATTCAAACTTATTCTTTTCACTATTTTAAGCCAAAAAAAAATGGAAGGATTTCGAATTTTTTTTTTCTGTAATCTCATAAAGTTTACCTGATCTCATTTCATGTTCGATTCATTTTATCTGATTATTACTAAGTAATAGAAAAGGAGGTAGAGAGAGAGAGAGAGAGAGAGAAACCGAGAGATGAAGAAAAATGAATGTTTTGGGGGTTTTTTTTTTCTTTTTATTTTAATAGCTAACATTTTTGCAGTTTGTTCAAAGAATTCCGCTATCAAACTTTCTTAGATGTTAAATTCCGTGTTATCATTTCTCATTTCCCGATCCTTCCTCATATAACAACAATGATGATAGGAGGATCAGTTGCACTCTTCAAGAACAAAACTGCTTTTTAAATGGTTTGAAATTTCTCAATTTTATATATTTTCCTGTGTCATTCGGATTTGTACGATAATCAAAAGATATGGGGTCAACATGGATCACCGATGGCATATTTTCCATCAATCACACTATTCATTTTGCCGTTTTACCCAATTCAATTCGAAATCACCAATCATATCGATTAAGTATATATCACCACCACCAACTAATACCACCATTAACATCACCAATATTATCATTATCACTGCCATCGTTGTCATCATCATCACTACTATTCGTACTGCTACTATCACCATCATTATAAAGAAAAAAGAAGAGAGAGGAAGGGAGAGAAAAAGAGGTTGAAAAAAAAAACAAATTTTTTCATTGCGTGCAACATTCGTTCCCTTTTTTTTCTTTTGTTTTTGATTGAAGTTAAAAAAAATAGACAAAAGGGGGAAGGAGAGGGAGAGAGAGAGAGAGAGTAGAGAGAAGAAAAAAAAGGTTCTTTTTTTTAATGCTCATATTAAATGGTACCGGGTAGTACACCTTCCCCAAATTCATCCTTTTTTTTTTGTTCTTTTTGAAGCAGAATAATCGATATATTTGACTAATTTAAAATGGACAGGTTTCTTTCTTTAGAGATGGTTTATTAGTAGTGCAAAATTTCCACTTTAATACATCAAGCATTGAATCATTCATTATCATTATAATTCTTATCAGTAATGACAAATCATTATTTTGCATCCACAAATATTGCTAATTTCTCCCTGAATTATCATCATCCATTTAATAGTGAAAAATTGAAAATGAAAAGCTGCCACTTTTAAATTTCAAACTTCAATTATATTTTATATATATATATATATTCATTCAATTGATTAATCTAAACAGGAATAAAAAGAAACAGTAAAATCAGATAGAAGGAAAAGAAGAGAGAAATGAGAAACATCATGAAAGATACTGACGTATCGTAACTTATCTCATTGCTATCATCCATCCATTTATTATCACTGACATTACAGCCCTACTTAATTGCTATATTAAATCGAAAAGCAAAAACAGAATAGAATAGGGTAGAATGGCTATATATATATATATATATATCGTAATAATAGATAATTAATAATTGGTATATTTTTATCCTAAAACTCACAATCTCTTTTACATTTGTTTTTTGATTTATTTTAGGAGGTATACTGTACACTGTCAGATCTAGTTTATATCCCGCTAATGATCGGAAAAATATACTTTTAAATAATCATCAATGCTTTGATCTTTCCAAAAGAAAAAAGTGTCGCAGGAAAAGGCTAATACTTTCGGGTAAGTGCATTATTGACACGTAGAATTGAACCTGAAATATTTTCGTCAACAGGAATGATATTATATTAAACTTTAAACGTTTTTCATCCTTCATCTCTCAAATTACTCCCCGCCTTCCCGGATATCCTATCCGTTAATAAGAAATATGTTGAAGTGCAAAGATTTTGTGTACCTTTCATATATGCTTGTCCACCTATGTGTGTATGTATGCATGTATGTGTATGTCTGTCTGTCTGTCTGTTTGTGTGTGTATGTGTGTGTGTGTGTGTATGATACAGACAAACACGCGGACATTCTTTGTTGCCAGATTTCGTTACATGCAGACAGATCGCCGTCTAGTCATCCATCCTCTTCTAATATCCTTTCTCCATTTCTCTCTCTCTCTCTACTAGCATTTAGTAAGCATGTGGTAGACATACAGGACATATAGACAGACGGACATTTAAGATACGCTATATATTCCAAATGTCTGGCAAGAAAAGAGAAATAAAAGAAAAAGTGAGAGAAAGAAAGAGAAAGAAATGGAATGAGTGATGGAAATGGTTGCAGTTGCAGAGAAAGAGTATTTTAATATTTTCTCAATCTTTATTTCTTCATTTTTCTCTTCTATTTCTATAATATTTCCATGTAATGTTTATAAGAAAAAGGGAGAAATAGGCATAGAAAGGAATAGATTGAAAAGAAGGAAGGGGTGGTAAGTTGTATGTAATATTGGTGTATGTCAATGTATGTCCATGTCTGTCAGTGTATGTCAGTATGAACGGGATCAGTGTAGTGTGTGTGTCTCTCGACGGATAACCGTCGTTGTCGTATGGCGCTTACAGCTCTGTCATTGTCGTCGTTGTCATCTTCAACAATTAAAATTGGTGGAACCGTTGGAGCAGCAGCAGCAGCAGTATTAGCATCAGCATCAGTATCAACAATAACAACAACAACAACAATAACAACAACAACAACAACAACAACAACAACAGCAGCAACAACAACAACAACAACAACGGCAACAGCAACAATAGCATCGACAGTAACCAGAAATGATAAATCAAGTACTATTGATGATAATGATGAAAAAGGATGTGAATTGGATGGAGGAAATTTCGAAATATCATCTGTTAGCAGTGCTAATTTATCGAATTCGATAATGCCAATAACTGTTTCATCATTAGCTACAACTACAGCAGTAACTACAGCAGTAGTAGCAACAACAACAACAACAACAACAACAACAACAGCATCGACGTCAACGATAGCAATAGCATTAACGGCAAATAATAATAATAATAATAATAATAAAAGTTGAAATTACATTTTACTCAATAATTCTACAATAAATGTCCCTTCTCGATTCTCCAAAAAGCCCTCTTTTAACTTAATTGAATTATTTGTAACTGAGCCCAATCATGTCCTTTTTTAAATTTGAATTTAAAATATATGGATGGCTTTGGAAGAAATAAAATAGTGAAATGTGAAATTGTGAGACAAGCATAAATATAACATCGAATGTTAATGAATGCACATATAATTTGAATTTCTGCATTATATTTCGCACGAAAAAGTGACTTAGTAGTCGAATTTGCTAAGTGGGAGAGATGCTGTCGTAAGCACACTTCGACCATTTAGGAATGGCTTATTTGCCGAAGATTTAATGATATTAAGTTAAAGTGTTTAGAAATGGCTTAAATTATGGCTAGCCTGAGAATTTTCCTGATGCTTTGAAAGCTGACCTTTATCAATGCATTTTTAGATCTTTGTTGAGGTGCAATAGATTTTGGATCAATCATTGAAATTTATTAAATCTTTTTCTTAATGCTAAATCAGAAAGAGTACAGAAATAAAGAATATGATTAATTTCTCCCCTCATTCTACCATCTGATGATATCTTTGAGATATTCTTTTAAACAAGGAAACAATTTCATGATGTTTTTCAAATCTTCAAGCTGAGGATCTTCTTGAGAGCTCTGGAAAAACAGTTTTCATTCATATTCTTTTACACTTTAAATTACATTAGGATGTTGAAAAATAATTTTCGGAATTTTAAAATTCTGAATAAAAGATAATTTGAATATTTTGGAATTTTACAATTGTTCAAATTTTTCCTAAATAAATGTGAAAACTACGATTTTAACAGCTTCAATGAAACTCTCCTATCTAAAAAATTGCCGATTACTTTCCAAAAACATTGATAATCATCGTTTAACTGCTTCGAAGAATAATTTTACATCTAAACTGAAATTTTCAATGTTGAAAAATAGAAAAGAAATTTTAAAAAAAATGTGAAGGAGCATTTTTCTGGAATATTTTCTGAGCAAAAATTACTTTTCATTGCATATTCAAAAGAAGCTAACAACAATTTGTTGAAATTATGGATTAAATTAAGATTAAATATGCTTAAATGAGTGCTCAAAATGCCACAAACAACTATAGACTATTGTTGCTGAACGATTATCAAATAATAATTCTTTGAATTATTTCAAAGAAAGTAATTCTAAAAATAAGAAATTAGCACGATTTTGCTTTTATATTTTCACAATTTTCTCGTAAAACTTCCAAACTTGCGCAAAAAAAATGCACCCAAAAAAATCGTGGATTATATTTTCAAATGTATCAAATTATATCAAAAATGCTACAAATTTAAATTTAAGAAAAAAAAACAATTTTTAATAACATGATGAAAAGACTTCTTGAAAGTATGAGAAGGAAAAATAACCTAGGCTTTTTAATGGAATAAAATAGGCCTGAGCAATTTATGCTATCGATTTCAATGCTCTTTAAAAAGCTGTTGAGAATTTGTTCACAATGTCAAATGCTTTTTCCATTCTCTTTTACTCACTGACAATTTTTTTTTAAAAAATACGTTTTCATCACACATTAATTTTATCACTCGTCAAATTGTATGATTATCGATTTGGTGAAAATTTTGTTCGAACATTTTAGAAAATCTTTTATTGTTGTTGTTGTTTTCAAACTCGCTTTCTAAATGATTAAGTTTATCAAACGGTAGATTATCAGATAAGTAATTTTTTTTAATATTTGATAGTTATCAGTATATAAATGTACACTTTTATGAAGTTTATCAATACCTGTAGCGTAATGGCATCACGTTTAAGAGCACTAAAAAATCATAAAATTCAAATCAGTTAATTGAAATCTCTTTTGCCTTCTTATATTCGCTATATTTTCCTTATTATTATCTTTCAAGTGGCAAAAAAATAAGTTGAAAATGGTTTTGACAAAATAATGAAAGCATGGATTTAATTTTTTTTGCACTTCTAATAATTAACATCATTGATCAACACATTATTCTGTTACCATTATCATTATATCATTATCGTACATACAGTTCAGTCCATTGTTTGTTTATACATTCATCTCTATATCATAAAATTGTCATTTTTTTTTTTAAATTTTTTTTTGGGAGAATTTTGTTATTCAGTTTACATAAATGAAGCTATCAATCAGGTAAGCCAATTTAATGACCGGACATGAATATTGTAGGAATAGCAAAGATTTATTTAATTGCATCAAACATCCACTCTGTAAATTATTAGTTCAAGTCTCGATTATTTCTCACAAATTGATTAAATTTTCACTCTCCACAATAGTAATGCCAGGAACATTCCCATTCATTAGACAAGATTTTTCGATTTTCCAATTCTAATATATATGTGAGTAATATGTTTTTCTTCCTTCATTTCATGAATATTCTAATTTTTAACTAAAAATTATTTTAAAAGTTTACGCGCAAGAATATGGAAAAAAAATGATAGTTTTTTTTTTCGATAAATTTTTTTTAATTCAGATATAGCTTCAACAAAACATTGTTCAGTTCATTTGAGAAATTGGTCGAAAATGATAAATCATGACATTTTGCTTTTCAAGGACAGATGAACGAACCACAATGCATATTTCAATCAGTCCCCAACTCCTACATCTCAATTAATTCGTATTGAAAATCGAATTCAAAGATTAAATCCCTTATTCTCATTACTCAATTTTCTCAATTTTCTGTTTCAGCATACATCCGAAAAAAATAAGGAATGCTCTCGATAAGAATTTTTTTCTATGAACTACTTAAGTACTATACCATTCATACAAATTAATTTCTTTCAAATTTCAATTTACATGTTAAAATTTGGCCTTAAATTAGGTCATAAAACTGATGCGCTTGCTGTTATTTGCAATTTATCATCAGTAAACACATTATCTATCGAATGATTCTACAGTTCTCTTGCTTATCAGTGGTTTAAATCAATGCACCCTTTAGTGGCAACTTATTTATTGACGAACGATCATAATGATAATTGAATAGAATGAAATTTCATGAAGTGTTCTACGACTATTTCAAACTCTTGTCATTCAACTGTCAATTCTGATAAAACCACAAAGAGTGGAAAATTTTGACAGCCAAGGAATAAATTAATGGCAGTTCTCAGCACTGTCAAATAAATGGTTAAGTTTGCCAAACTGAAAATCAACAATTCCTAATCTATCTTATTTCACTCAATTCTTAGATGTTCCATTCCTGTACCATCTTCTACCTTCCAACATATTGACCATTGCTATGGTTCAATTTTTATTAATTTCCTCTCTAGAATACCAAATTCATGACTTATTGTTTCGAGATTCAAAATCGAAACTGATCTAAAATTTCAATCACTCTTCATTTAAAAACTATCCTTGGACATCAGGAATTAAAACCTTGCTTTGTTTTTTCTCGAAATATTTATCTCTTCAAGAATTCCCAAACATCGCAGTTCATAAATCCTTTTTGGTTAATACTGTATCCTTTCTACAACCTGTCTGTCCAAAGATTATAATATATGCCAAAGATACAAATTATTCACATATTTCGGCAATATTTTTGTAAAATAATAAAATATTAAAACTCCCTTTAAGCAAATTCAACAAATTTTATTTTCGATTTTCAACAATAACAGAGCAACCAGTGAACAGTAGAAAAACGAAAAATCTGAACATAAATCTTGCAAAGAAAAGGAAAGAAATATAGAAAACTGTAAAAAAGTAGAAAAAGGGAAAATAGGAATAAAAACGCTATTGTGAAAATTTGATACAAATCAAACCGAAAAAGAAATCAACAAGAAATGATGATGACAGCGTCCCTGGATCTTATTTTTTTCAAAAAGATACTAATGAAGCATATCATCATATATAATCAATACAAAAAAACAGTGAAACTAGCTAACCAGATACAACTATGCAAATGTTTGCAATGCATACCTAGCGAATACTACCATAAAATAATGGATAATGTTGATGAAAAAGCACTTCAAAAACTGGTTTAATGATAAAAAGAAACTTGAAATTATTTAATAGAAAAGGTTGTACAAAAATGACTCATGCTTCAATGTCTTAAGTAGGAGAAAAATAGAGGCCTAAGAAAGCTTCGTAATAAACATACAATTTAAACTATATATCGGCAGAATGGAATGGCCAGAGAGATCGCGCATTGAATATATTCATCATTTAAATTCAAATTAATCATAAAATGCCTGTGAAGAGCAAATTTGAGGACTTAGCTTAAACATAACATTTTCAGACACCGGTTTCTCGTTAATATTCCTAAGTCACCGGATCTTTCCATATTTTTTCTTCTTTCCTTGTTCCTGATCACAATTGTATCACAAAACTTTTTTTGCAAATGAAAACTATATACAGGCACTTCATACACAATATTACCGTTTAATTACTAGTTGCAATAAAGTAATTAATGAGTGAAATTTGAATTCACTCTTCTTCTACCCATGAAGATTACCATCATTGATTTGGAATGTCCCTGAAAAGAAAATTAAGTGATATATGAACACTAGGATATCGAAAATGTAAAAAAGCAACCTCTTTCACCCCATCTTATCTTCCTTCTAAATACACCGCTCTTTCTGAACATATAACAAATCAACCGAAATTTTTGTCATTACCTAACTCTTTTCTCAATTTCCTTTATCAATGAAAGCAGTATCCACAAAAACAAAGTTGCGTCATCAGTGTCTCTTATCGGTTCAAGAAAAGTTACATCATGATGCGCTTCCATCATCATCATTAATTAAGCTTCACCAATGACCTTCACTTTTTGAACTTGCTTCGGAAAAACCTGTACAGAGATCTTTAATATGCTTCTCTCCTGCTTCACCCATCGTA